CCCCCCCCCGCCATCCGTCACCCTCCTCACTCGGCCCCCGCCTCGGGCTGCCCCACATCGGGCTCCAGGCAGCCGTTGAGTTGGGGGTCGGGAGCTTGCGGGTCGTATTCCTCATCCAGAAAGTCCAGGGAGTTGTTACTGGGCAAACCCCGGATGGTGAATTTGTGGGACACCTTCGTCCACTGCTCCCGGTTGCTGGCCACCCTCTCGTAGAGCTCCGCCGCCTTGGGGAAGAGGTCCTGCAGCAACCTGGGGAGGGGGGACACGAGCGGGGAGAGGGAGGGGACACCCCATCAACATGAGGTTGCACCCCCTCGGTTGGGTGTAACCTTCCTCCCCACTGCTTGAAACCCCCCAAACGTCTGCAAGACCCCGTGTCCAGCGCCACCAGTCCCACCCTGGGGTGGTAAGGAGGGAGAGGGACCCCCCTGACCCCGGCGCCGGCCCCGGGGGCTCACTTGTAGATGGGCATGGCGATGTGCTCCATGAAGCTGATCTGCAGCTCGGGGATGTAGGCTTTCTCCCGGTCCATCATCTCCAGTGGGCGGTTGCCCATGGCCTTCTCCTGCAGCGGTGGCAAGGTGGGGGTCAACTCCGGTGGCCATCCCATCCCCATTCCCAGGAAAAACCTTCCTTCCTGTCCCCTCCCACCTAGTCCAAGCCCTTCCAAGAGCGTTGGCCAACCCCAACCTTGCCCCAAGCCCTGATGCTACCTACCAGGTCACCCTGGGAGAAGAACTCCTTGTAGATCAGCTCCTGCAAGGGACAGGTTGTCAGCGTGGGGTGGAGGCATGCCGGGGGTGACCCCCCACCCCACCCCACCCCACCTGCCCTCCAGACCCCTCTCCACGGCTTCAGGAGAATGGCTCTGTGTTGGGTAGGGACAAGGTCCTGGCATGGGTGGCTGCTGGGTGGTCTCCATGGGGCACGACGCCACTGGGAGGGACAGGTTGGGCCCCGGCACCTGGGGGACCACGTGGGCACCTCGGGGTGGGCAGCGGGGTGGCATTTGTGGGGCAGGGGCGGTCAGCCCCATGGTGTGGCACTCACCGCGATCTTCCTGGTGGTCTTCCAGCCCTTGGTCTGGTCGGAGAGGTCGCAGGAGGTCATGAGCAAGCAGAGCAGAAGGCTGCGGTGCTGCTTGTTCTTGGGGTCGTAGCCCACTGCCGGGCAGGGAGTGGGGCAGGGGTTGGGGTGGGGGGCTCGGGAAGGAGCCCCACAGCCCTCATCACCCACCCCACCCCCCCACCGGGACTTTGGGGACATCTAGGTCCTGCCGTGCCTTGGTGGGCTGAGTTCCCACCACAATCCCAACCCCAAGGACGGGAGAGTCACCTTCTGCCATCTTCTGGAGGTCCTTGAAGATGCGCAAGTGGTGAGCCAGGTCGGTGGCCAAGATGATGTCCCTCATGAGGTCCAGCATACGCTGGTAGTCCTGCAGGACCGCAGGCAAAGCGGTGGTGTGATCAGCTCCGTGGCCCCACCAGCCCCGGCGTCCCAAGGACCGCATTTGAGGGATGGGGAACCGGGAAGAAGTGTCCGGGGATGGGATGGAAGAGCTCACCTTGCGGGAGAAGTGGTCGAAGATGTTGCAGCCCTGACTGTTGAGGATGGCGATGGCTTGGGCGAAGTGGTGCCTCTGCGGGAGAAGCCGGGGCGGTGGGAACGGGCAGGGAGCGGGCAGGGTGCAGGCAGCGGTGCTGCCGCATCGCCGGACCACCGGAGAACCGGGCAGTGGGGAGGGTTGTTTTTTTTTTTGGCGGGGGGGGACACCTTACCTCCATGACGGAGGCCTCCGAGCTGTACAGCGGGGCCAGGACTGA